AATGCGGCGTAACACTTTATTTTGGGAAAGAAAAGATTTAGTAGAGAACTTCTCTTACATGCATGTATCTTATGTAATTGCCTTTCGTTCTCGACGAATTGTCTTTAAGGTGTCCATGAAACCGCCCCAAAACTTTTTGTTTGTTTGCACTTATTTACATACAAGGGGAAAGAAAGTAAAAAATTGTGAGCAAGCCAAAAGCTATTGTTAACTGAGCGAGGACTTTGGCTCTGATCGTGAGCAACAGTTGGGCTTTGTTGTCCACATGTAGAAACGATCGACCCACTGTGAAAGGAAAACAGCCGTTGGCTCCAATAGATTTGAATAACTTTCGCTGTGTTTAGATATTTCACAACATCGATCACCTTCCACCTATTGTACGACTGTGAAATGCATAAAAAAGAAGTTTATATTTACCCTTTCGAAATTTGACAAAATTAACGCAAACCAGAATAAAACATAACCAAACAAAACAAAACCCAAAATAAATGAAAAGAATAGAAAATCCCTTATGAAATTTACTTAAAACGAGATTGAGGTAGAAAATTCAAATTGTGTGACACCTCTGTCTTTCAATTGATGAACAGTCAGTAAATTTATGGCTGTCAGTACAACTGAGTTCTACGTAGCCGTGTAATTTTGAAGCAAACGGCGAGTCAAACATTACCGTCTCTATAATATTCAAATTCACTTGCTTCGGTTTAGAATTATCCAGATGGTGGAATAGGTGTTGCCCGAATGTAACATCTACTTTACCTCCTGTTAAGAGTTGCATACCCCGTACTTTCAAAGGCCTTACATGCTACTTCGACCCGTTTAGCAATTAAGCCATTCTCTTAATAACAAAAATATCAAAGGATTGTTTTTGCAGGTGCAGGTGGTTTTGTTATATCCTTCTGCAATAATTATGATATCGACTCTTTGGTCTCACGGAGACAGGTGCTCCAAGGACTTCCTTTGAACATCACCAGTTTACAAATTACACAATGCAGGTTATTATATCGTGGTCTGATCCAATGGCATAAGCTTCTGGTTGAAGCAATCCTCTTTAAAAGCGCCCCACAAGGCATTATAACTCATAGGGAGGCACCTGGTTACCGCTGTCATATCAAGTGTTCTATCAGTTGAAGATATGGAACGTGTTGGTCTTAGACTCCGATATTGCCTGCCTTTACTGGTCTGCTTTTTTCGTTGTCTTCATACCTCGCAAGGTACTGTAAACTACTTTCTACATTTTATGTTTTGTTTCATATTTTGCTTAATTTGGAGAGGTAATAGCGATCAGCAGAGCCATGCAAATGACAAAATCATTTCCGTTGTGATAGGTTATAACAAAGTCCGGATCTTTTCAAACAAAGGTCTCTATCGAGAGTCCTCAGACGAAATGTGGATGATGAATATAGTGGAAGAAACGTTTTCCTATTTAAACATCAGCAAGATCAATTCGGCTGAGGTTCAAAACAACGGCGAGTGTGCGTTTGCCTGCCTAAATGAACCCATGTGTTTTTCATACAACTTAGAGGCAAGTGCCTCCAAAACAGGAACACGCGTATGTGAGCTGCTGCCATCGGATAAGTACAACAACTCGGACAAAGTCATCATCAGCCAGAAGTTTCATCATTACAGTATTCAGGTGAGTGCTCTGAAGTTCAACATTGAAAACATTTTTACAAGCACTCATCATAATACAAAATACGGAACATATACAACTAACTAGTTTACTGAAAAGGTTTTTTGACTATTGTTTCTAAAGCAAAGTTCGTGTGTTGGTGACTCATTGTTCTACTACTAATTTCACTTTAGACACCTTGCAGCAGAGGACCCTGTCAAAACTATGGCATTTGCGTGCCGCAGTACGAGAAAAACAGTTATGTGTGCGTTTGCAAAATTGGATTTGAGGGAAAAGATTGCGAAAGAGGTGAAGTATTAAAATGTGCTGGATTAAAATTACTTTAACGTAAGATCGATGCTTTGGGTTCAAAATTTCAGGCCAA